CCCCAAAACCCCAAAACCCCAAAACCCCAAAACCCCTTTGTTCTCATAGCTTAAGAAATAAAATAATTATGGAAGAAGAAAAAGAGATCACTCCTTCTCCACCTAGTCTCCATCCCGACAACCAATCGCCACCTATAACGTAAATTCCTCTTATGCCTTATGCTCACTCCAAATCTAGCCAAGGGACAGTCCAAACTACCTCTGATCCCAATGGCCCCGAGCCATCTGCTCCTGAAATCCCAGCTGAACCTGACCAAAATTCTAAGTAAACCTTCAGACTCCCCAGAAGCCACCCCTCAGAATCTTCCTGAAGTCGCCCCAAGTTCTGTAGAAGCAGATTCAAAGGCGGCTGAAGCACACCTTTGTCAAGAAGCTGCTTCAGAAGAAGACCGAGAAGAAGGACTTGAAGAAGAAAAATCAAGGTAAAAGCCACTTTTTGAATATTTAGCCATAAGAAAAAGAAAAGAAAAACGTATTATTACACTGTGCTCAAGGGGAATTATCCCCAGAATGTCATTGATGCCATCAAGCTTAGGAAGAACTGGAAGCAGGTAAGATAACCACGACATGGCTTTAGTGTAAAGAAGATAAAGATATGTTTGAAGCCTCACATTTCATCTGGAAACCAACTAATTTCTCATCCAAGGTGAGTTATTTAAAAGTTTATATTCAAGAGTTATGGAAAAATTGATTTGTTGATGAGAAAAGGCAAGAAATTAGTATTCAATCATCTTGAGAAAATAAAAGGGATCAGCACAAAAACAGGTCTGGTTGGATCGCTTAAAAGATACTATGAAAGGTGTCCAGAAGCAGGTATGCTCCCTATCTTATCATCTGTAGCGAAGATGAAATATAACGTATTTGACAGCACCCCTACAACTTTCATTATATCTCCAAATTTGGATGGGGATGATTTCAAAATGTTTAATCATCTTTTGAAATCTTCAAAACCCAAGACCAGTAATTCTCCGAGTATGGTTATTTCTTTATACTAATAGCTTATCGGGACGATGCGATCTTACCCAAGCACTGAGAAAGCGGCACTTGGCTAGTAAAGCCCTCTTGCATGAACCGAGGAAGAGGAATTGAAATATTTCATAGCAAGGAAGAAATTTTAAATTTTATTTCATCAAAACCTGTGTTTAGCAGGTGGGTTGTTCAAAAATATATCGAAAGGCCTCTACTGTATAAGGGCCGCAAGTTTGATCTGAGAGTCTGGGCCTGTGTTAATCACCTCGACGAGGTCTTCTTTTATGAGAAAGGATATGTCCGCCTCTCTTCAGAGGAGTACGATCTTGATAACCAAAATAATTATGTGCATCTTACGAATAACTGACTTCAACAACATGGGGAGAAGTATGGTGTTCATGAAGAAGGAAATACTATTGGTTATGAGGCTCTTCAGGAGTATCTAGATGAAACCTTCCCTGACCTTGGAATTAGTGTTGAGAAGCACTTTATTCCGAGGATAAAAGATCTCATCCTTGATACCTTCTTTTCAATTCAGAGTGATTTGAGGATCTGTAAAAGGAATAGAAGCTTCGAATTTTTTGGATACGATTTCCTTATAGATGAAGATTTCAGAGTAATTCTTAAAAAATATTGTATAGGTTTGGCTTATAGAATGTAACTCAAACCCATACATTGGAAAAGTTAACCCTTATATCAAAGGTAGCATCTCCATGTTTCATAAGTATAGTTTTGGTGGAAAACATGCTGGATGATTTATTGAAAACTTGTTTAGATCCATACTTCAAACCTAAACATGTCGATGACCCAGACCGCAAAAATTTATTCGAGTTAATTTACTCCCCTGGAGGAACAATGAACTCAAAAGAAATGATCAATCATAGAAGAGACTACAGCTGGGATGATCTTTACTTGTCTTCTGAAATAAAGGATGTATTCTTGGAACATAGATTCCCACCTAACAATGATCTTGAGTTGAAACCCAAAGGCTTGAAGGGGAAATCTCCTCAAAAGCAAAGAAAAGGACAATTTTCACTAGCTAGAGATGATTCTTGTCTTCAGAAATCTGATAAGAAGGAATCTTTACAGTTATATAATGCCTATTCATTTACACAGAGCAATATCAAACCACCAAGGATCAAGAAGCGTTCCTATTCTAAAGAGACGAGGGTAAAGATGGATGCATCTCGTACAGAGACAGTCTTTCCTGAAATCAAGAAGATTATAGAAGAGAGACCTCCAACTAAGATCAGTAGTAAGAACTTTTCGAACCATAATCAGTAAGCTTAGAGCATTTACCACCTAGGAGATCCAGGACTCTTCTTAAGAAGAAACAAAAATAAGCTAGAAGACACAGAGAAATTAGAGGAGCAGCTCACCTATATGGCCAAATTTAATCAAGATGTTCGTGAGAGAAATCGCCTCAGAAGTATAAAGGTACGCAAGAGTCACAAAACAAGATTGAGGCGTAAAAAGATCAGGAGACTGGTCTGTTATACATTTTATATCTAAGATCTTTACGTAAATCTCTTCGAGGGTTATTTTTACTATAGGAGCAAGGCCTATCACACAGTAAAAACGATTCGCATGTAAAGACACTTGACTCATTATCTAATAATAAGCCAAAGTATTGTACAGATGCTGAGATGATGTCTATCACTCCATCTAAGAAAATCACCACTGATGAGTATTATCATAAGGAGTATGTCTTAGTGAAAGACAAATAAAGCCAAGTTCGAGTAGTAATTTTATTTGAAATTAATAAATTTAGTTCCGTTCTTCATAAACCCAAAGCTGAAAGGAAGCAACGGATGAATATAAGCACAGATAGAAGGCAAAAGCCTTCCTTGAAGAGGAACAAAGTGGAGTCTTGCAATTTATCTATCAGTAGCAGGCTAAGTGAAAACCATCCAAATGACTGTAAAGTTAAAATAAATCTGAATAAGATTGGAAAGGTTTGGATGATATTTTAACTATAGACAAAATTACCAGAGCTGGGAAATAAGAAATTAAGCTCAGAAATGACTCAGGATGCTAAAAATGTAACACATAGGGCAGAGAACCAACAGAATAGCTCCATACAGACTCTTGAAAGCAGTAAGCGATTCTCTACTTCTAGCCTTAATCTGATGGCTTTTTGGTAGATTTTACAAAGATACTAAACAAGAAAAGCAAAGGGGCTAAACAAACCTCAGATAGCTCTAAGAAAAGAAAACTTAGAGATGTAAAGAAGCTCAAACAATTTAGCCCATACTTTGGAAATATGCTAAAGAGCCAGACAAGGTTCGCTAGTATAACAAAGAGGTCTGAACTAATCGAAGAGAAGAGGTAAAATGATTACTTCAACTATAGGTCACAGAACTCCAAGCTTTATAAGATCTATGGTCTTGGCAATACTAAAAGATATAAGAAGAAATTGCAATAAATTCAAATTCAATTCATATAGCCTTCTTCGGGGTTTTGGGGTTTTGGGGTTTTGGGGTTTTGGGGTTTTGGGG